TGACATTAATTGATGCTCCTAAATCGAGCATGGCTTTTGAAAACGTAGTTCCTCCCAACTTGCAAGGTATAGTGAACATGCCCGGGTCATTGTATTTCTTTGGAAGTTTCTTTTGAAAAACTGCCGAAACACGTTCACTAACTTGGACTTTTTGTTTTCCATTGAGTCTATGTTTCCTTTTTATTGTACATAGTTCTTTGAAAAATTTTGCGAATCTAGGAACACCCTTTATCAAGTTAAGGAGAGGGATATTTACCTCACATTTGGAGAATGTCTCATAGATGTCCTTGTCCTTCTCCAGCTTTCGTGTTTCCCTTAGAGCCTCGGGGAAGGGTGCTTCAATCTCGGGAATGACCGGTGGTGGGGTTGGGATTTGAGCTTCCACCTCCGGTTGAGTCACTTCCACCAGTTCCTCTTCTTCCTCCTCTTCGCCAATGTGGCTCTTTGCCTTCTCTTTAGCAATAACCAACTCCTTGCCACTCCGCAATGTGACTGCATGGGCTTGTTGCCTAGGATTTGGCTCCGTTTGAGATGGTAGCCTTGCCGAATCCTTAGCTTCAAGCCTACTCACGGCATTTGAGATTTGGCTGATTTGGTTTTCCAAGTTGTGGATGCTGGATTTTGTTGTTTCTTGGAATTGAACCACACTTTGTTGCATTGTTGCCATATTCATGGCAAGTGATCGAATCATGTCTTCGGTTGACATATTCGAGTTAGAAGTTTGGCCTTGTTGTTTATATTGTGGAGGAGGAGGATTTGATGGTTGAGGAGGTTGAGAGTTTCCGTACCTTAAATTAGGATGATCCCTCCATCCCGGATTGTAGGTGTTGCTTTGAGGATTATACCTCTTTTGATTTTGGAAACCCAAAGCATTGATCTGTTCAACGTTCTCCTCTTGTAGTGTTGGGCAAGAGTCGGTGGGGTGCCCTTGTGTCGAGCATATGCCGCAGACCTTGACTTCTTGAGGTTTCGGATTTAAGAGAAAATCTTTAACCAAAGAAGTCAAGCCGGCTACTTGACTTTCCAATGAGTTGTTGGATTCTGCCGCCATAACTCGTTTTGTTGATCGCCGATCATAGTGCCTACAATTCTCGGCCAACTCCGAGATGAGGTTTGTAGCTTGAGAAGGGGTCTTGTTGACAATCCCTCCTCCACATGCGGCGTTTATCATCCGCCTATCTTCATTGCAAAGACCATCATAGAAATATAAGATGAGGTCTTGCTCCGAATAGCCATGATAAGGGCAGCTTGCACACAGTTTCTTGAATCGTTCCCAATATTCGTAGAACGATTCATCATCCTTCTGCTCCACGTTGCTGATTTGTTTTTTTAGAGAAGATGAGACAGAGGCAGGGTAGTACCTTTCCAGGAATGATTTCTTCATGGCCGCCCATGTTCCTATACTTCCTGAAGGAAGATAGAATAGCCAATCCTTTGCGGTATCCTTCAGTGAAAATGGAAATGCCCGCAGTTTGATTTGTTCTTCTGTCACACCGTTTGGGCACATGCTTGTGCAAACGACGTGGAACTCCGATAAATGTTTGTTCGGGTCTTCTCCCCTCAGGCCATGGAAGGATGGCAGCAGATGAATGAGCCCAGATTTTAGCTCAAACGTATTACCCTCATCAAGTGTAGGGAAGGTAATACACAGTGGTTGTTGGTTGAGGTTTGGAGCTGTGAGCTTCCTCAGTGTCCTTGTTTCAAGAGTCATTGTGGTTGACTCTTCGGTGTCGCTAGAACTAGAGCTAGCGGTGTATGAATCTCTGGAAGATGATTCTTCCGAGTCGGTGTTAGAAAATTTACTTTTCAACCGCTCGAAAGTTTGTTCTATTTCTGGGTTTTTGTGATATGTGATTTCGTTTATGGAACGATGTTTAACCATAAACTCCACTAAGCTCAGAAAATAGAAAAACACTCATTATATTATTTTTTTGTTTGTTTGGTATATATATATATATTTTTTCTTGATATGAAATAAAAGAAAAATTTATTGCCTTTCCCCGGCAACGGCGCCAAATTTGACGTGCACTCGTCGTTAGGTGCACTCAAATTAATTAATCAATACAACACTAATACGTAGTATAGTGTAGTAAGGTTCGTATCCACAGGGAAAGGAATACTTTTCTTTTATATAAATAATAACAAGGGGGGTTTAGATTTGTTTGGTTTAATAACACTAAGATAAACGACCTGAATGAGTTAAATTCAATGAGATGGGGACTTGATTTTGCTTTTATCCACTCAATGAAATGTTCGTCGATCCCGGTTATATCTTTAACTATCTTCCTCTCGAATACTCAATCGAGGAGTATATCCAGTTCATCGAGGGTAGTTATTAATAGCGAGATGTGTTCATTAATAAAACTTACTATCGAGTCAATACAGAACAAGCGCCGTATATTAACTTGATAGTAGCAATAAACTTAAGATGAAAACGATTGAGATTGATAACCTCAACACAAGCGTTTTATTGGTTTAATCAATATAATTAATTCCCCTTGGCATATTAACCATGAGATGCATGCATTAACATTCCAAGTTTACTACCGTTGAAAGAACCGGATTAATAACAAGCGTATTAACCGATTGATTCTAGTAATAATTAATATGAGAAACAATACTAGTTGATACTTTAAGTAATGTTTAAGATATTAACATGAAATATGAATAGGAATTAATTAATACTCAAGGAAGAATATTAAAATATATGAATCCTACTATAACCAATGTCAAGATGTTAACTAATTGTCATCTTAGTAACACTCCCCAACTTTGATATAGAGATAGTATTTTGAAAGAAAGAATTAATATTCAAGGAAGAAGATTAAAGAAAAATAACTCACAACTTACAAATTCATTAAGCTTCAAAGTAGCAAAACCAAGATGGAAGAGTTTAGCTCCTCATTTGGAGACTAAACATGATGAAAAATATAAAGAAAGAGCTATTCTATACTGAGCTTAGATGTACAAAGGGATTGGATATCTTTTTGTGAAGGAAAGGAGGTGTATTTATAGGTTTTTGGGATGGGATTCGGGTACTCGATCGGGTATATACATGGTACCCGATCGAGTATGTGTGTAACACCCGATCCGAGGCATACTCGACCGGTTTCAGACTATTTTCTAAGTGTATACCCGATCGAGTATATATGAATACCCGGTCGAGTATGCTTAGAAAGTGGTATTCGGGCTATACTCGACCGGTTTCAGGCTAGTTTCTAAGTGTATACCCGATCGAGTATATATGAATACCCGGTCGAGTATGCTTAGAAAGTGGTATTCGGGCTATACTCGACCGATCTTCGTTTGCAATTTAAAGGCATACCCGATCGGGTATGTCGGTCTACCCGATCGGGTATAGACATAGAATCGTGGCCAAAATCTTCCCTGCATGTTCCTTTGTCTTCGGATTTGATCCGATTTGAAGTTCCAACCTAATACCCGATCGAGTATAGCTAATACTCGACCGAGTATAGACCAAAATTCAGGATCTTCCTTTGTCTTTGAACTTTTGCACCTTCTCTTCACTTTTTGGGTTCACCAACTGTATTTTGGGTGACCAAAACCTGCTTAAGCTCAGAATATATCTAATCTAACCTATTTACAAGAATTTAACAATCTAATCTATTACACCAAAAGTGTGTAATTTCCAAAGTAAAAGTCAAGCAAAACTAATTAAAAACATAAACATAGAAATGGAAATTACGAACGTATCAACGGTGATTATGAGCGGGGCTCTAGACCGTGGTAGATGACGGTGATTATGAGCGGGGCTCTAGACCGTAGTGGATAACGGTGATTATGAGTTGGGCTCTAGACCGTAGTAAATAATGATGAATTGATACTAAATGAACGGATCAACTATAATGTAATAATGCTCTAGATTGAGGGCCTCAGAGATTTAAACTTCGATTATACTTAGTATAGTTGTCATTGTACTTGTCAAATACTTCCAAGTACTGACCTCCCCTTCACGGGGGAGGCCACCTCACAGCTTCAGGTAGAACTTGAAGGATGCTACTACCAGCCGCTGTTCGGGAAGTTTCTGAGAAGAAGACTTGGTTCGTGCTTCTTCCGTTCTTATTTTGAAAACAATATGAATAATGCTCATGGATAATATTTTATGAATAATTACTTTGGGGGCTTGCATGCCTAATTATGCCAAGTGTGGCTTGAACACTTGTATCAATTGTTTCCGCTGTTTCAATAAATGTGTTACATTATGTTTGTTTATGGATGTACTATGTGTGAATGGTATTCAAGACGCCTTGTATAGTATAGATGAGTCGGACTGCGGTTGACTATTCGTACTGTACGGCGGGTTGTTGACGTGTCTGGGTAGATCCGGGGCGTGACAAATGATTCTCCAATCACAATGGAACAGAGAGAACAGGAGAATGCGGGTACAGATGCTGTTGACCATGAAGTTCAAATCAATGAGCATCAGGGAGTTGTGAATGAGCAACAAGAGAATGTTAATGAGCAACAAAAAAAACTTTGATGAGCAAAATGACTAAAGCAGCCTAGAGGATGAAACAAGGGTGCATGAGTCAAGCTGTACAAGTGATGAAATGACTGATAAAGATTCTGAAAAGGGAAAGAATATTTGCATGGAAGGTGAAGATGGTGAGGAAAATGTGTTGAAGAGAAAAAGAAATGTGATGCCTGCAGCTGCTATAAAGTCACCATTCATGAACAGAGTTACAGAAATTAAAGCACCACCAACCACTGAAGAGATCAAGGTAGCTCAATTTGTGTTTAGTGAGGGCACCGATAAAAAGTAAGTTATTACATACTTCTCATAAACAATTATTATATATTTGATAAAAAATGCATAACTCATTCAGTCTTATAGGCTCTTGGAATTTTGTGATTTGTGAGTAAAGTTTCAAATTTGATGCACCGATCTTATCTGCTGACTGTTTGTTTGTTTTTAAACTCATTAGTGATGTGTTATACAAAGTTGGAGATGTTACTCTTTCAAAAAGTGAGTTGGAGAGTCTAAATATAAGCTGTAAAGTGAATTCACGACTGATAGACGTGTGGGCAATGATTTTGAACAACAATGAGACTCTAAGAAGCGATGAAGCAAGGAAAAGATTGATCTTCACAACAACACCATGTGTAAGAATTATAGATTTACATATTTGTTTTTATGAATATATTTGAAAGAAATTTATGAAATTATCTATTTATAGAGAGTGTTGGAGGAAAATCAGTTGACTACTCCAACAACAAGAAGCAAGAGATTTTTTGATGTTACAAGGGCCCAATTCGCCAAGATGGCATTGCCAAAAGTTAGAAACATGGATTTGTTTATTTTCCCAGTTCAACAAAGTGGAAGATCATACATGATGACTTTTGATTTGAAGTACAATAAGTTCTTCATAATTGATATCTGTGATGCAGAAATATCTATTAAAATGAAGTATCTTTCACAACCAAACCATCTGGTAAGTATACATATTATGTTTCTATTATATGAGTACTGTAGCTATTCATAATGAGCATTGTTTCATATTTATTGAGCATTATTAGTACAGATTTATCTAAGAAATGCTTATTATAAAAATTGCTTATATTTGCAGAAAAGTGCTGTATTGAAAAGGCTTAGAGATGAAAAGCACCCTCAAGCAGAAAAAGTCAAATCCATGAAGCCAGAAGTTTTTAAAATGGCATGGCGCAACAAGAATAATAAAGCAAATGAAGGACTATATGTGATGAGACACATGGAAACCTTCAATGGAGAGAGTGATTGGGACTTTGGTCTATTCAAAGATAATGTAAATACACATATGTTTATGAAGATTTAATGAAATATCAATAGTGTGTCAAAACAACATAACCTAATACTGACATATATGTAATTGTGCAGGAAAAGCCATTAAACATAATGAGGGTCAAGTATCTGCACAAAATGCTCACATTTCAGAAGAATGAAGTAAGGATGGTGGTGATGCAAAAAGTGAAAGAAAACAAACTGTTCTGAATGCAATCAAGAAAAAAATCGTTTAATGTGCAGTTCTGGTTTAGCGGTGTAATCGGGAAAAACATATTTTGTTTGTGTGTAATGACATATTTAGTGTGTGTTTAAAGACTTTATGGTGAATTTGAATGTTTGAACTACTACATTTAGGGCTGAGCAAAATCCGACCCAACCCGAATACCCGACCGGATATTTCAGATATTACCCGACCGGGTAGGGTCAACCGACCTGAACAGCAAACCCGAAACCCGCCCAGAATTATCCATAATTATTAGTGGGCCGGGTGGGTTTTGGTTTTTGCCCAACCGACCTGTCCGAAAACCCGAAGGCCCAGCCCAGTACCCTGCCCATATATATTTATATATATACTCCCCTAATAAACCCTAACCCATTTCCGCCTCCTTCGCCATCTCTGTTAGTCCCGGTTGTACCAGATACAGTCTAGAGGGGGTGAATAGACTGTATTGGTTTTTAACTTTTTCAAGCTAAGTACCAGATTTAACAGAATAGCCTGTTCTGGTGGCAGAACAGACTGGCAGCGGATGGGGTTCTGGTAGGGGTTCTGTCAGTTTAGCCTCAGAGAAGCAAAGGCAGTAGGCCTTCTGTTAACTCACAAGACAAGTTCTGCTGAACACAGATACCAAGTCTTTGGAATTAAACAGTTCAAATAAAAACGATAAATGAATGCAGTAAGTAAATGACACTAGGGCTTTTTATAATGGTTCAAGGAACAACTTGTCCACTGTGTCCACTGTTCCACTAAGCTTGTAAAAACGACCGTTTACAACATCTTAGTCCTATCACTTAAGAAGCTCTCCACGTCTTCTTCAAGTGTAGATGTCTCCTGGGATGCACTTCCTGGCTTCCTTTAAGACTGGTCCTTTCACTGAGCTTTCCCGGAAGTATCACCACTTCACTGCTCCAGGTACTTGGACGTCCTTCTTGTGAAAGAAGAGTTTCTGTTAAAAACAGGGGTTCCTCCAACTTGCTTCGTTACAAAAGATTTGTAGATGAAGAGCTTGAAGAGTTGAAGAGCGACTAGAACTTTGCTTGAGTTGGAAGTAAGAATCTTTCCAACGTTTTCCTTCTCTTGTAGAAGATAATGCATATTGAATCTCAAGGAGGCTATGCATTTTTAGCGTTTGAATGTTTTGTATGCGCACTGTTGTAGCAAAGTTGTCCGGTTGTTCTTCGTAGTGTATCTTTTATACTGAGGTTGTCTTCCCATTGGAGGAGAAGGAGGACAACTGTATTAAATGAGCGAGCAGTTGACTTGACCAGTAGGACCCAGCAAAGTTGGTGGGTTACTATTTTGGGATAAAGATATCCTTACATTGCGGCCAATCATCTGCATTTACTCTACAGAGTACGGGAGGCATTAAATGTGCATTTAATGCGCGTACTGTAGCTTTTCCGTTCAAGACTCCTAGCCGTTGAAGGAATCTTCGGTTGGTTTACCGGCTTGGTGAAATTTTCTAAGTGTCAGGCCTTCTGGTGTCTTCAGCAGAGAGTCGGTTAGAGAAGGTCTCGAGCACTTCTGTTGGAGAAAGTTATCAGAGACTCTTGACGGTTTCTATTGAAGAAAAGTCCAACAGAGAACCAGGAGGGTTTCTATCCGTGTAAAGGCTAACAGAGACCCTAAGGTCTTCTGTTCTGAAGCAGAGAGCCAAAGGTCTTCTGTCAGGAGGTCTTCTGTCTTGGAGGCCTTCTGCCCTGGAGGCCTTCTGCCAGTCGACTATTCTAAAGAACTTTACAAGGAAAAAAATTCTAATACAATAAACAAAAAGAGGGGTACTCTAAAGTCCTAATAATATAGCATCATCAAAATTTAATTACAAATATTCCTTACAATTTCCCCCTTTTTGATGATGCCAAAACCTTTTAACTATTTCCAGAGAAGTGCCTTCACCATAAGGAGTTAAAGTTTAAAACTTTCATTAAAATCTTGGTGGGCAACTTGGCAAAGGAAAGTAGTAAGAGTACAGTACATTCAGATAGCACATAATAAATAAAAAGAGAGTAAACAACCAAAAACAAAAAGCAGAGATAGATATGAAGGAATTGCCTTACAAAGTGAGAGGCAGAGATGTTCTTTTATTAAGGATAGTTTACAAGGATATCCGATTACATAATAGCCCTTGCAGCTTCAGCTCTTGCTTGTTCACCCAATCCTTGTAGCCTTTTTAACTCTGCATTCACCTCTTCTCTTATCCCAGTGAGATTTCCAGATCTCTGGTAAGAAGCCCAAACGGGTGTTATGGTATCAGAATATCTTTTCCTGGAAGAATGCTGTTATGGTACCAGAATTCTGCCTCCTCCAGATATCCTCCATGTCTAACCTTTACATGACCATCATGGTCCAGATAAATGTTCTGTTGCTGTGTAGAGGTCATCTTCTGTTTCATTTCCTCAAATTGGGTTTTGGTCATCACCTGAGATCCTCCCAGTCTCCATTCTTTAAAGCTCAGTGCTTTCTTTTTCTTAGTACCTTTCTTCTGTGGAGATGGGGGTCTAGGGATACCAGCTAGCCTTTTCTTCTGGAGGGCAGCTTCAAAATAAGGAGTGGGATCCACAGCTGGTTCAGCAGATGATGAGGCTCTGGTGGTCCTAGGTTTGGACTGATGAGGATCTTCTTCCCCTTTTTTGGCATCATCTAGATCACCAATCAGTAGGGAGAGTTTCTGGAATTCTGTGGCTTGTGTAGAGGCAATATGTTCAAGGGTTTCTAGCAAGGTTTGAGTAACAGATGTGAGGCCTTCAATCAGACCTTGTTGTTTCTGGATGGCAGAGAGGACATCTTTGTTGCTGGCTTCTAATAGGACCATCTTCTGATAATGTTCTTTGTCTGCAACAAGAAGAAGCTGTCCTTGAGTAGAGTGTTCTTTGCAGAGTGTGTTGAGCTCTTGTAACCTTGCATGAAGTACGGAATCAGATTTCTGAAGAGATGCAACTGCCTGGGAAAGAGTTGTAAGTGTGGTATGTTGGGAGTTCAAGGTCTGATTCATGGATGAAAGGACTGTCTTGATAGTATCCACTTCAGTAGAGACATCATCAATCTTGAGATTTGATGTAGTCATGAAGTCCTGAAGAACATTTGTCAAAGTAGCAGACATGTGCTTGAAGCCTGATTTAACATTGTCATCCACCTGTGTCAGACCCTCATAATGTTTATCATTGATCATTATGAGCTTGTTCATGCCGTCTAACATTTGTCCTCCAAAATCCTCTGCTGCAGCTACAAAGTCATTGAAGGGTATCTGATCCTCTTGTCCAGCAGAATGAGGCAGCTCTAAACCTCTTCCCTTAGGCAAGGGGTGATGTTCTTGGACAGAGGAGAGGGATTGGACAAGCATTTCATGCTCGAGTTGAGTTAGAGGGGGGGTCTTCTGTCTCTTGGAGGTAGCTTGATAGGACTTGCTGACAATGAAGCCCTCCATGTCAGAGGAGTCCTCGTAGGAGGAGTAAATTGGGATTCTGTTTCGGATCACCTTTTTCTTTACGCGAAAAGAGGGATTGGGGGGCAGTAGAATGCCTAGAGTATCCTTGTGGTACAGAGATAGGGGAGATAGTTGTAGGATCAGAATCTCTTAGGAACCAGACAGGTTTTAGTTGAGTTGGGGGTTGCTGTGGTGGAAGAGAAGCTTGTTGGGTATTCTGATGCTCACACTTGTGAGGTGTAGAGGATTTCTGTTGAGATGGTTGTGAAGAGAGGATGATCTGTGGAGGTTGGGTTTGAATAACTTGGCATTGAGGAGATGGGGGAGGGGAAGGGGATCTATTCTTTGGGGGAGAGAACGGTTTGAAGGGTGAAGAAGGTTTAAATTTGGGGGTTGGAGATTTTTGGGGTGTGGGGGTTTTCTGTTCAGATGAGGGTTTCTGATGTTGTGAAGAGGTGTTCTGTTGGGGGGTTGGGAGTATATGCACAGAGGGAGATTTGGGAATAAGGGGTTCTGTTGGAATATGTACAGAGGGAGAAGAAGGTATTACCTCAAGTACGTGGTCTTCCATCAGAGATGTTCTCCATTCTGAAATGAGGTCCATCATTGCTTGGCCTTCTGTTTTTGGTACAGAGGGTTCCCCAGGGGTAGAGTAGGGAACAACAGATTCCTTTGCCTTCTTGGCAAACATCCAGGCCTCAAAAGCATCAACTTCTTCATCTGCAAGGGGTTTCACTGGCTCTTCAGAGGGAGTAGAGATGAGGACAGTCTTGCCCTTGTAGTTGGCCTTCTTCTTCTCAAGAACAGAGATGAGAAAATTCATGGCAAAGCACTTAGATACATCATCAGTGCCTACCCAGTTGAGTACCTCTGCCTCCTCAGATTCATAATAGTCGAAGTATTGAATAATCTTCTGTAGAGGCCCCATCCTCCAGCTTCTCCAAGCTAGCACACGCTCAAACTGTTTGTCAAGATCTGTTCTGTAGTCTGTCTGAGGTTCTGGGATAAGAGGGGTTAGGTGTTCTGGAGAGTGAGCAGCCCCATGGTCTTCTGTCATGTGTGCAGATTTGACAGATATCTCAGATTCCCCCTGAGTTGTGGCATTCTTCTCCACTGACTCACCCTTAGAGTCACTAGACTCGAAAGTAATCTTCTTCCCTTGCCATATAGAGTTCTTGGCCAGAAGGGGTAGAGCAGGTTCTTCTTGTTCCCCCTGAGTTTCTGAGGCAACCTTGGGGATAAGAGTTCTGACCTTCTGTTTCTAAGAGACTGGGGGTGCAGAAGGGGTAGATGATCCGGATTCTGAAGAGGATTTCTTCCTCTTTGGGTTGGGTTTTCTGGTCAATACCTTCTTGACCTTCTCTGGTGCAGCTTTCTTGGCAATTGCTTTATTCACATCTTTTCTCACCAGGGGTTCTTCCTCAGAACTGCTGGAGGTATTCTGTTGGGAGGGTCTCTGTTGGAGCTTTTGTCTATTAAGGTCCAATTTGGCTAACCTTTTGACTTCAGCTCTTATAGCTGCT